TTTTTGCCTGAAATTTTCATAAACTGAGCAATGAAATGAAAAATGATATTCATCTTCTACATTTTGTTCGTTACAAAGCATACAAAGTCTATCTTCCAACTTCGAATTCTTGTTTACAACTGGACCTGTTTCAACATGTTATGGAAGTATTCAGGCTCTAAACTGGGCCGTGATTGATCTTTCTGTCGGTTTCAAATTATACCTAACATAATTTTCCTCTACTAAATTTTCTTTAAATTTCCTGTAGACCCTTTATTTGGACTTTTTTTAGCAGGGCCTCCTTCCTTACTCTCTCTTGAGCCTATTTATTTATCCTTAATAACACTAATATCACAAGTTACTAATTCATTAAACAGATGCTCCATTTCACAAAAACATAAAACATTAAACCTGGGCACACCAATTATTTCCCTCTTTTGCTAAGTCATAATCTCTGAAGAAGATTGAATAACGAAATTAAACTCGTAACAAGCGATGCGAGGCAAAATCATGTTTTTTTTTAATCCCTGTGTCCACTAACACACATTCTCAATACATAGATTCATTTGAAGAAAACAGAAAAGTGAAATTTGAAGTTAAAGAAATATTCGCGAATTCTACTTTTTTAATCTCTGGAGACAGAAAAGGACTGGCTTTTTATGTAAATCATTGAATAATTTAAAATCCATGCCTTTCTAGTTTGGGTAATTTATTTATTCAGCAACGAAGGTTTTAGCCAACTTTAGTAACGAAAGTTTTAAAAATAGCAACTCTTTTGGATAATATTTACAATTCATTAACACTACCAAAAATTTCACTGCGCTCAAAGGGTATTACGATATGCACGTTTATTTTACTGACATTTTAATGATTTTGTTCAACCTCAAATATTTTTTCCACAAAGCCTGATAACGAAGGTGTTGCAAATTACTTTCTATGAGAATGCAGTTTTTGGCTGTGCCATGTTACCATATCGTCTTGTTTTTAATTGATGTAACTGAATTGAAGATATTATTAATGGCTAAAATATTACACAAAACATCAAACAACTATAAGTAATGACCAAAAGACTCAACGTAAGTTTTTTTTCCAATTTATAAAAAACCGGCGACACCGCGAAAGTAGGCGCAAGGTATTTATAATGTTATTCAAAATAAACATTCTAGATGTTAGGCATCATGCTCGCTTTTTGACAAGATGCAGATTTTCTACTTTAGTAAAAAAAATAGTTCCATTGGAGAAAGTGAGATGGTGCTGCGAGCGAGAGTAAAGAAGGTTTTTAATTTTAGTCCGNCAGATAAGAAAGAGCTTTTTGTGTTACGTTTATAAATGCAGAGCTTGGACATAATATGTCCAAGATACGGTGTAATAGTTGAATAAACATCTTGGGCAGTATAATCGCCCCCCCCCCCTCATCTGATGCTAATTTTTTTCTTACCTCCAAGTCAACAATTTTGCTTGAAAATTAATTTGTTTGCAGGGGCGTATCCAGAGCTATTTTCTGACAGTCATTCAAATTATCTTTGTTGATCCATCCTCCAAATTTGACCGTCAATGTAAACTTGAAAATATGACCGTCTTTCGAAAGAAAGGCTTCAATCCGCCCCTGGGTTGTGAGTGTTTCTGTGAGGGGGGAGGGGGCAAAAGGGGGGTGGTGGGCCTGTACTCTGTATTCGTTACTTATATTTTATAAATGTCAAATTGAAACTATACATATTTAAATCATCACATTCTACTGCAATATTATAGCTATATCTAAGCTAAGACCTTTTGAATGAAAATATATAATTTCATTGCGTAACACAGAGTTTAGAAATAAGGCAATTAATTGAAAGCTCTATATTTTGAGTTGATGACACATACATAAATGCGATATCGATATGATTTTTTCAGATGGTATGCAAACGTAACCATGGCTTTCGCAAATGAGAGTTTTTGTTTGCACTCGAAGTTCTACGAAGATAGCCGAGAGGCTTTTCAGCACAAGAGCACAGGAAGGACAAAATTAGCTATTAAGGCCTTCACAAACGTACTGAAACACTACGAAAAGAAGACGATAAGTCCCGAAGTTGCATTTTTACATAAAGAATTATCGAAACTACACTTTATCTGTGCCGAGTTTGACCTCAGCTTTCGTCACATCAAAAAGGCGTTGAAAATCGCCAAACGTTTGCAGTTATCGCGCATTGAACGTTCAGCACTTCTGGTCACTGGGAAATGTTACCTCCAAGTAGGGAGTGTGGACGATGCTGTGAAATCGTTTCTCTCTCAATTAGAAATTGCTCAAAATGCGAGAGACAACGCCCGGGAAGCAAAAATTTATGGAGCATTGGTGGAGGTCTTCACTTCTGATAAGTGCTACGATTATGATGCTGCTTCGCACTATGGTCAATGTTGCGATGAAGTCCTTTCCCGTCTTCCCAAAAAGTCCAAAGACCACGCTAAAGTCTGTATAATTTTTGCGCAACTGAAACTGCATATGGCCCGTGCTATCAGAGAGAAAAATGACCAGTTGAAACAAGAGCAACTTATGCATGCCATGGAAACCATGTTGCAAGCCAACGAACTCGTCATGTCAAAGAAAGATCGAGTGCGTCTTAATATATGCAAAATAGATGTACTTACTGGTTTGGCAAAGCTCGATGATGCTTTACTGCTTGCATCTCAGGCTCAGGGTTTGGCAAAGGATAATTACAATGTAGAGGGAGAAATTTGCCTTTCTTTGGCCGAAATCTATCGTAAGAAGGGAGATCTAAAATCCCAACAAGAAGCATTAAACAAAGCTAGAGAAAGCTTTGCCATATTGGATCACAAACTCAAGCTGTTTGAAGTGAATTTAAGCTTGGGACTAAGTTACCTGCGTTCCTTTACATTCAACGAACATTTAAAACTTCGGGCAGAAGAAGGGAAAAAGATTGCAAATTATTTAAACGAAGCTATGGGGTTCCTACATGTAATCCAAATGAATTTAAAGAAAGACATACACAGGTTAGCTTTCTCTGACCGCCTCACTGAATGTGGTCAGATGCTCCAGTTGGTTTTAGCCTGTTCCCCCCAGAAGGGAGAAGACGCACTTCTGGCCGCTGAGCAAGACCGGGCCAGCTCACTCATCGGGTGCATAGTGTCCAGTCACGGCAGAACTGACAACGGTACAGACGGCAAAACCCGGGCTCTCAAGTTCATAGAACACTCCTTAAGCGAGGTTGCAATGTATCGGGTATTAAATCACCTTTGTCATACTGCCCTTGTTTATTCTTTTATCAAGAACGAGCTTTTTGAAGGATTCCTGGTTTGGGTAATAGTGCCACGACTCAGTACATTTGGAATGGAGTGGAAAATTATCCCTTACCCTTGGCATAGTTTTATTGCTCTCATATCCAAGCTGCAGGGAAACATAGCTGCCAAGAGTCGGTCAGTTGAAGTGGTGGAAAGTAGAAGTGCTGACGCTGACGAAAGGAACGCATTACCAGAAGATCTGGAGGATAATAAGCCACAAACAGAAAATGCAGGAGACCAGTTAAAGGATGTTCTACAAGAAGTTTATAACCTCCTTATTAAACCTCTCGAGGGAAATGCAGAAATACTGAGAGGTGAATGTGAATCCAGTGAACGACTGCTAATCGTCCCAAGCTCCGAACTTTTTCTTGTTCCGTTCTCGGCTTTGATAAATACTGCCAGGAAATACATTTTCCAGCTAGCGCACGTGATGCTGGCCCCTTCGATCAGACTTTTGGCCTACCTAAATGACGTCAAAGAAACCAGCCCAGCATCTGTAAATAAAACATCCGGATTTCTTGTCATCGGCAACCCTGCCACTCCGCCAGGGGCGAATTTGGTCCGCCTGCCAGGGGCGGAGAGGGAGGCGAGGAATGTTGCCGACATGTTCCAAGGGGCGTGCTTGCTAATAGGAGAAAGTGCGAGGAAAGACGAGGTTATGCACAGATTGCCAAATGCTGATTTTATCCATTTCGCATGCCATGGGTCATGGAAGGAAAGTTACCTGGCTCTCGCGCCAGCAATTGGTTTTGAGGATGGCCTAGGATCTGACTCCAAAGAGAGTTATCAGCTAACGGACGCCGAGATCATTGGCATGAAGCTGAGGGCAAATTTAGTTGTATTAAGCGCCTGCAACAGCGCGCGTGGTGCTATCTCTGGAGAGGGGGTCGTTGGATTGGCGCGTTCCTTCCTCGCAGCAGGGGCACAGGCGGTGCTCGTGGCTCTCTGGCAACTTCCCGATGACGCTACCGAAATGGTCATGACCCAGTTCTACACCAGTTTCCTGAACGGCCAGTCGGCCTCAGCATCACTCACATACGCTATGTCAATAAACAAAACCAAGTATTCTGATCCATTCTACTGGGGAGCTTTCTGTTTGATAGGGGCAGACGTGTTTTACATTGACGCTACGAAACAAAGCGGAAATAGCCAACATGGTCGCAGAGAAATTGGATTTCACTTTATGCAGAATCCTTTCTTGTAGGGACTATAAACGGCTTGCTGAAATTAAACGTTTCGACAAAGAATTAGGATACTGTTGATGTCCACCAAAGAATGAAAGATGTCTACCCCATCTTGAATGCTTCATGTGCTCTGATTTTTATAATGTATAATTATTTCGGTTTTTATGTTATGGTACACGTGTGAATTACGTAGCTGATTTTAATGGCTTCTAGTTGTGCGAAAACATTCTCTGTCAGTTATACTGATGTGATTTTGGACAAATTGTCTGTGGAATCGAGTCGAGGCAAAGGCAGTGTTACCTTAGTTGGCGGATTGATATTTCATGTGAATAACTAATCTATGCATAATAATAAAAAATAGTAGTACTTTTAAATCGTGGAAATACCTGTAGAACTCAAGCGACGTTATTTTAGAAACACCGTTTTTGAGCCTACACAATTAATCCATGCTAGTATGGTTTGCTAAATACAAATTATAGTGAAATAGAAAATAAAATATAAATTTTATATTAATATGGCCATGATCAGCCTTAGCAGGAATCCTATTAAACCCGCAGGATGTAAAAGATATTGCTTTAATAGTTTGATCCAATTCAACAGAGCATTGTTCATAAATAAACTATTTCCACATGAAATGAATGCTTATTTGTCCACAAACACCAGCCAAAGATGAATGGCAAAAAAAGTACAAAAAAAATGTAAATTTAAACTCTGAGTTGGCCTAGCATATAAATTATGAACACGTTTTTAATAGCTTATAATATGAGCCTGGGTGTTGAAAAATACCAAGCCGATAAGTCAGACGACAATACTGTAAAATACACCTTACTTCACCTCTGTCCACAGTGAAGTATGCGAAATTAGATAATGCAATTTTGGGCACGCTATAAATAAGTTAAAATTGTCCAAATTGAGTGCCTCATTTATCTGTACAGTGGCGTCTCCACACTTGATCTCTCCACTCTCCATCATACAAAAAAGAATATATACATGCATAACTGCACCTCCCGTGATAATACTGTATGTAGGCCTATCTTTATGTACGTATGTGCAGCTGGGTGTCTTTTAACTGTGTATGTCGTCCTTATTTCTGCGCGTTTTCTTGAACAGCCAACATATCTGGTTTTCATTATGTTTCATCTGGAAGTCAAAGAAACGTGTATTTGAAGAACATTTTTTCATTTTTGCCTATTATGAGCAAATGTGCTCTCTGCATTAGGCCTATCATTAGGTCCTATTTGACCATATTGAAACGGCTATTCCAAGGAATCAGGAGCTTTATTCTTTTTTTTCTGAACACAGGAAAGATATCTTCAACTTCCTGTATCCAATAAATAATTGTTAATGCTATGTTATCGATTAATAAAAACTACTAAAAAAAGACAATCGCTACTGTACGTACTTTTGCATATGTTTGGACATTCGTTGAATAAACCAATTTGAATGTAAACGGTTCACCATCGTCTGCCTGTGACGTCACAGACTGCAGCAGACAAGAGTAGTCCGCAGGACTGCGATACACGGTGGGGTTGAAATCGTCCACCAATGGCTTGGTGCCTGTGAAAGAAACTCATGACTATACAGGCTGGTATATGTAAAAGGAAAGGCGATTGTCATTGGCGTTGTTTAGTGAAGGGTTGCCCACAGTTTAATTTCATTTAACTAAACATCATTAAACATGTTCCGAGTTCTGGTTACCATAAATGTCACGACTTCAGAATTATGTATTGAATCAAAATATTTACTTACAAAACTAAATATCGAAAAAAAATGAGTTTTTAAATTGCCATATTCAAATTTATCACCACAAAACCCATAAGCCTAGCAAAGTAAACGTTAAAAAAACATGAAAAAACCTACCGGAACTGTGGTGGCACGACTCCCGAAAAAAGAAGTAGCCATCATCCCTTAACCATGACAACACTTTCCTAGTAAGGGTGACAATTTCCTCATCGGACAAATACATCAGAAGCCAATTTGAGAAAATGACGTCAGCACTGTAATTGAAGTATTATACTTTGATCATTGTTGATATTTATACGATGGATCTACACATATTCATAACTTTCAGGCCTCTGAGGAATATGAGACAGACCCATGATAAATGTCGCCCACTCGCATTTTAAACGTCCCCTTATTGGACAATTCCTGTGAATTATTAAGACACAAAACTTTAGGCCAGTTTGAAAAAATAATTACATTAAACTTCGTCTCAAATAACTTTATGCCAGGATAACATACTTGCACAAAGTAATACGTATGCGTGTCACAAGATGTTCGAATGAACTCTAAGATCTTGGTCTGATTCTGTCGCTAACTTACCTGGAAGAAGGCAGATCCAGCTGAGTGACGTCAGCACATGTGAAAGTCGTGTTGCCATAATGCCCATTTGTCTCTCGATTCTTTTCAACAAAGTTTTGGATGAAATCAACAGCTACGACACTCTTGGAAGATTTAGCAAGTGATGTTGTAAAACGCCTAAAATATTTGTAAAATGGAGTTTTCTTAAGCTTTCATGTTCAGATTGGTACTGATTTGGTCCAGTGTGCCGACTATCTTGAGTTGCCTTACTTTTTGTGCGTAACTTTGCTTTGTTAACTAATTTTTAGAATTAGTTTGTTTGTTGCGATTCAATGATTATAAAAATTGAGGAACTTTCGATATCTAGTTTAGAGTACTCATTATGAATCAGAATTTTAAAATTATATTTCAAAGCTCAATCAGGCCATTGTCACACACCCAATTCCAGCTCCAAGCTCTACCACGTCCTTGTCTTTATAGTTAGGCAGCATAGCCAGTATCTCCGGCGTCTCTGTAACAGCCAAGTGGTCTGCCTCGTTATCCAGGAACATTTCTTGGAGGTTTGCCTCCTTGGAATGCCCTCTCCAGAACAACGTCATTAACTCTCGCGTAGACCCTGAATTAAAAAAGTAAAGGAATTTTATCGGTGAATTCCCATACAGCCTTGTTAGTCAACTGCTATTTCACTCTCGGTAAATGGATCGCACTGGTTGGAAAGAAGATATATACGCTGAGCTCGCAGGTGAAGACGCTTACATCTCTGTTTTATTGACTAATTACCTGATTGATTACTGCTTGGGTCTAAGATTAGGCGAAGATGATTAAGGCAAGAGGTCACCGCTTAGCAATAAATTTTTAAACTGAAAGCAATTTTTGAAATAAGCTAAATCTTGGCTAGCAAACATTAAGCAACCACCTAAAACTTCAAAATTCAGTCGGTGGTCGAAAGTGTTTATTTTTTAAACTACTGGACCTCGATTACTTAGAGTAAATTTAACAAAATTTCGACAAATTCATGTTTATTTGGTCAAAATATATTATCCTCTGTAATCTCATTGACAGTTCGTAAAACGTAATCATTTGAAAAAAAAAAGTTACAACAACACATACGTACGTTTATTGTCTTAGAACGGTATTTCATTGGCGATAAACAATTTTCGTCCAAAATCCTGCACATGCCACAGTTTTGTGATTTAACATCTTAATCATTAGCAGTTCTTTTTCTGTTACTTTATTGATGGTATTTCTCTCTACATTTACATATGGCACTCGCAGCCTTGCGCTTACATGCATATCATATATACACTAAGCCTGCGCACCACTTACAGGGAAGGCAAGGAAAGTAGGCCTACTAGTGATTTCTAAATGAACTACATGTACAACTCGATTATGAAAATTTGTCCCGTTAGGCTGTAAACTAACAAAACCAACATTCCGACAAGAACAAATATATAAACTTGGCAGAAGTAAATATACTCAACATAAAGGAGATACATGATTTAATGTCTTCAAATTCTCGCAGGCCTACACATAAACGTAATGTGTATACAACATATTTTTTTCAAAAGAGTTAATTTCTATGTCAGTCTTTCTCAAGATTTCTAGCAAATGTAAACCTTCTTTAACTGGGTCTGCATCAGGACGCTAATGGACTACAAAAGGCACATTCTAATGCAATAATTAGCACAACCTGCCTATTGTCGGTAATATCAAGACGTAGAGGAATGCTAATAATTTTTGCATGACCAGTATCATTATCCAAAACTATCCACATAAATGAATATTAATAGATGCATATTAACAAACATTGATATTCATTACATTTGATACCACTGAGTAAATATAATGGATATCTGTCTCCTTACATTGCATGTCAGAATTGTTAATTAAAGGGATAATAACTCTTCGTTTCGGCCAAAAAATGAATTTTCCTGGGGTAAACAACAATTTTCCCATACTTACCAATGGTTAATGAATCCATTTTTACATTCAAAGTTAGTCCCTGTTTTTTTTCTAAAAAAACAGAGTATAGCCATCAATGGAGGTCATGTGGTCTAAAGACAAGCTCAGATATCAGAAAAAAAGCTATAACTGCCATTTTTGTGGTAAAACAGAATATATTATATTTCTATGAATTATTCACAATGTTTTTATTGTGAAATATAGATCTCATACGAAGAGTTATTATCCCTTTAATAGCCTAGCATGTACCGGTAGTATGTTTACGCTATACCCCAGTATATCAGAATTGTAGTCATGAGCTTGAATTTATTGCTCTGGGTTGAATTAGGTCTGGGTATTTAGGAAAGTCGTTTTTCACTAAAGGGAGTCGATTTGTAGAATAAAAAGATATTCTTTAGTGGAAGATAAACCTTGTGAGCGAGGAGGTCATCTGTAACAATTGGTTGTGAAAGCTATCTCTGCGTCACCAGGGTTACAATTGTCAACAATCTACGGGTGCCTTGTTATCGATATTTACTTTTCACATATTAGATGCACCATAAGTTACTAAAGGTAAATCCCCGACATGAGTCGAATATGTTAATATGGATCATGGATTTTGTGTGTGAAATATTATGAGGGCACCGGAGGAAGTCTCATGGCGTAATCAATAGAATTATGCAGAGCCATTCTACCCTCTACCGGTACGCAACATGTACAAGGGCCACAGAGTGATTTTTCACTGGATATATTAGCTAATTACAATGTATGCGCACTTTTCCGTACAGCAGAGAATTGTGTCATGACATATCTGTGAATATCTAGATACATTTTTGTGAATATCTAGCATAATATCAATCTGTGGACCTGGTGGAGGGCAGAGCAAATCCTGTACAGAATTCTCTGAAGCAGACGCCTCGTTATCTTCGGAGCGGGAGTAGATATTAATATAAAATGAAATCCGTGGAATATCAAAATAGAGATCTTTGATTTGGGCGAATTTTTCTCAGTCGATGAACTCGAGTCTTATCAGTCTGATAAAGTTAGTGCACATATAGGACTACCCTCTGCATTTGCCCTAAACTTTACCTCCCCATTTTGTTACATAGACAAATACGTGTACAATGTATCCTGTTTAGTATCAAAACACAATCGTCTTTTACTGAAATGGCAAAAGATGGTTAAGGCCCTTCTTATACCAATGACATATAATGTGCCGATAGATGAATATACATGTAGGCACCGATCCAAAACGGCTAACTTCGAATTCATCTATGGGGCTATTGCTGATATATCTTTGCAGGTCAAATACCGGTATGTTTAAGTTTTCGTCGAAAAGTCAGACTGATTTTTTTACTAAAGTCCTATTGTGAAACTGGCCCAAAAACCTGAAAAATCGGCCACTTACCTGTTGCAGAAGCCTCTTCCTCACTAGACATATTGTTATTGTGTGTAATAGTAAAGAGAGGACGACGTGTAGTTAGTTTGGTACTGTGTCGCGAATATGGGTCACCTGTAGAAAGTAATTATTTATAATTGCTTCCTAAAGTATACGTACTAGTAGGCCTAAACCAGCTTACAAAAACACCTGGCCTTATTCGTTATACAGTATAGGAAACAGATTTTATTGTTGATAAAACAAAATAATGCATTTGTTTAATGAAAATCTGCAATTGGGGGCTCATAACTCCATAACAAAAACATTTTAACCGAAATGACGGCACGTGATCGTAGCCTATACACTCGTGGTCAACTTTGCCAAATTATTACAGAAATATTTGTTTATATTCTTTATATATGTATACCGACCAAAAACAACAACATGTTAAAAGAAAATGGGAAAATATTGATCGCATATTACAACTTAATTGACAAGCAACCAGCTGATGATATATCTCTTAGAATTCTATTGTAATGTTAACAACATGAACTGTCAATCTCTACCCGTTTATGCAATACTGTAACTGTACAACCTTTTTTTTACTGAGAGAGACAGTATGTAAATGTGTGTGTGTGTGTGTGTGTGTGGGTGTTTGTGTGCGATTCATAAGTCAAAAAATGTAAAAATGTGAGATTATATATTTATTTGCTACTGAATAAAAAAAAAAAAAAAAAAAAAAAAAAAAAAACTTTGCCAAATTTTCGCGATAAAATCTTGTTCAGGGATGGAGTTACGCCTTCCGACTGCAATCTCACCTCAAAATAGATAGGTGTTAAATTGACGATTAAAGCTAAAATGAGTTCCCTATGCTACTGGTAACAATGCAACGAGAATTATAAAAGCCGATGTTTTATATTTTCGATGTTTTTTATTGTTTTAATCCAACACAAAGATAGATACATTATTGAATAATTAGATGCAGGAAAAACCTCATTTTCGGTATCTGGATGATAATGAAGGGTTATAACATCCTTAACATTGTGGTTATGAAGACAGTGAGAAAGAAAACTTCGATTCGCTCTTAAAAGAGTAATAACTTCCGCCATTAACGATATACGATATTAGTCGTAGAGTTTCTAGAGGCCCAGCAAATATGAATGAAGATTAAGTGCACACAACGTGTTTTAGATCATTCAAAACCTCCGACGAGTGCTCTCTGGCCTGAAGTGACATGTGGCCGCCATCTTTGGAACTGCCATGACCTGCCTCTTAGTTCCAACCAATCTCATATACTTTTAGGTGAGTAAGATGCAGGCGGGCTTTGCACAGCGAGTGAGGACAATTTTGTCTTCGTTTTTACACAATGAAACAGATGACAAGAAAAAGGAACTGAAAAATGGACATGCCGTGTAAGTATAAAAATAAGCATAGAATTGATTGTGTTGTGATCGCATAGAAACATCGATATAATGATTATTGATGGTTCTCTTTTCACTGCGAACTTCCTGTTGTTAGTAACTAACTTAAAATTGAATTGAAACAGTAAGTTTAGTGTAAGTAGTATTTGAGTGTTTCTTGTTTGTCCCATTATTTTTATCGATATGATTTTTAAATTCTAATAAACCTTGGAATACATACTAGTATCTAGGATAAGACTGTTGTACGTTATTAATGCCTTAGCGTGCACTGTGTTGGTAAGTCGTAACTTTTAATCTTTATGGAGTAATCATAATCTGCGTCTCTAGCTCTTACTCTTAGTGTCGTTATACTAGAGTCGTTATACTAGAACTTCGTGGTATATGATATAAAATTACTGCGATCACTCAGCTTTGAAGTTATCCTCTGCTGAATATAACGCCATTTTCTATAATTTAACTAGAGAAGAAGGAGATCAGTCTCCTGCTCCAAGCAGCTCACCCTGTGAGGCAGGTGTCACAGCCAGATCTGGTGAGGTTCAGCTGCCAACACATGCCAGGGACAGGACTGCTTACTTCCACAGAGTGGAAACATACTCAATATCCTTGTAAACACACTGTGGAGACAGGGACATGTATTTATTATAATAATGATAAGGACAGTATTGTTAATTTAGCAAGAAATGTTTTTTGCTGTTATTGTTGTTGTTTTGTCTCTCTACAAAAATATATCTGATTGAGTAATTTAAAAATAATAATTGTTTATACAAAGTAATTAAGAATATGTTAAAATCAATTGATATTTAATATTATACATGTATATTATTTGTTTGATATGCATATGAATATTACTTAAATCATTTTTGTTTTATAATATTGTGTAGTGTGAGTGGGGAAAAGAAAAGAAAAATGGAATTGGGCTTGCTAAGTTTTTCTTAAAATTAGTGAAACAGTTTTTATATATATATACACAGATGTTTCCTTATCACATTGTAAGCTGTGAGCTGGTTTGCTAAACCTCCATCTCTCTGCCCTCTGCAGTGTGCCAGGTATGGCTGGCAGAACGTGGACACAGATATGTTACGGTGTGTCAGTTGTAAGGCAGTGCTCTGTGCCTCTCTACCCAAGACTTATGATCATGATGTTTGTGAGTATACTTGATTTGTGCAATCAAACAGATTTGGTGTAGCAGTTCTGAGTGTTATAATACAGAAATTAAATACTGGCAGAGATATATCATTTCACCAGAAATACCCAGTTAGTATGTGAAGATTAACTTACTTTATTTCATGACAGAGGTCCTGTTTTGCATTGAAAGTTGTTTGCAGGTATATGTCATAACTACAGAATAGTACATTTAACATTCAGATGATGAGAGTTGTAAAAAGATAGCAGAATCCCTGGTGTCTTCCCACAGAAAGATATGCCCCTGGCCTTCTAACCCAAGCCCAGGTATGGCACTTTATAGCTCACAGATTCTTTTTTCTGGGTGCATTTTTTCAACTCTTTGGAATGAATAAGAATGTTATGTTTTTACCTACTATTTTCAAGAAATGTGCATATCAAACTTATTCTTCTGGAAATTGATTGAGTGGAGAAAACCTTATTGATAAGACAATCATATCAATAATAGAATACAATAAAGGTTAAGTATAAAAAAGTGAAAGAAACTTGCTGTCCTTAGTATAAATTGATGATATTTTATTTCTACTTTTAGTCCACTTTATGTCCATTTTATATTCTGGGCGAGATGAAGCACTTGATGACCTTTTGTCACGACATCAAAACCTGAAGCAGCTGGGATCACAGCTTCCCAAACTTGATATACAGGCAGACCATGTAAGGGTAGAGAGAGAGAGAGACAGAGAGAGAGAGAGAGAGAGAGAGAGATAACAAGTGGGGGAGTAGAGAGAGAGTTAATTAAGGGGGAAGAGAGAGAGAGAGATCTATGTATCATGTTTTATTATAATTCATTCATCATTGTTGCAGGAGCTAAGTGGTCCCAGTGTACAAAATCTTTTTAAGATTGTGAAGCAGCAAGGCAGCAGTGGAGGTTTTAATCTAGACTCAGCTCTCACAGATCAAGTAAGCTGTGTGCTGGCACTCTGTGGCTGGGACATAAGGTATACCAAATAGACTGTCTAAAATATGTAGCCATGCTTAACAGATTGTCTTTCCTAGTATTTTAATAAGTATAATTTTTTTTACAGTCAGTGTAGAGCAGATAGATTTTTGTTATTTCTTAACCAATTTATCAGTTTAATTAATTAGGTGTAATTTTTCTCATTTCTATTTTTGATAACTAAGGTATATTGTAAGTAATAAACTTCAAATTATGAGCTGTTTTAGTCATTTCACAGCTTTATAGAGCCTCAATTGCATAGAAATTCCTTAATGTAAAGATAGTTTATTTTTGTCTTTACTGTAGAATGCCAGCCCCTTTTATCAAATATGTTAGTATTTGGCAAGATGAATAATCTACAAACATTTTATATTTCACTTTATGGTTTTCTCTTAACTTTCAGTTCTTTGAAGAAGACGGATATCCTTATTTGTCATTTTTGCAGAAGGCAGATAGGTCTATGGAATTTTTTGTCCCATAGTTCTTTAGAACAGGAAACAGATCAAAGCTCTCAGTCTGTGATAGAAAATGGCAGCCATTCCAAGAAAGAAGGTAGCGCTAGTCCAAGTCCAAAGAAAAGGAAGTTTTTGGCAAGTATAAGAAATATATGTGAAACTTTAAATTTTATTGTAATATAATGCTCTCCTTTGTCATCTACAGAGAAATGTTGTGATGATTTATTGAATGGGTACTGAAGATTAAGTAAATGTATCCCTTTAAAATTTGAATGATGCATTTGAAGTGTATTATTTTTTTTAATTCAGTATTGAGTAAATATGTTAACAAAAAATACTTAAGCATCAAAATATTGAAGCCTGATTGAAAAGAATGCGGTTTGTGCTGAACTTCAATGGGAAATATACGCCACTCAATTTAATTTAGTTACAGTTAATTTAATTTTGGCTTTATGATGATTTCACAGTTAAAGAACACATTGTGATGCCATTCTTTATTATCCAGAATGACTCCATAGCAAAGACTTCCTTCAACCCCATTGGTGAACACAGATCTTGGTGTCCGTGGATAACGAGCACTCAGCAAGACAAGAGCAATTCACAGAAATCTGACCAAAGAGAGGTGGTGTCTAGCTATGTAGGTGATGAAGATAGTAGGCCGGGCTGGAAGAGACTTCTAGATTGGCTTGTTCCTAATTCTGCAAGCACAGATAAATTGACTCCTAAATTTGTGAGAAATGTGAAAACGGTAGGGTCAAGAACAATGGTTTAATGATATATAGATTTTATAGTAGTTTTTTTTATTTATCTTTGCAGTTTAAGCTTTTATAGGCATATGTAAACTGAGAAGCATGTGTAGCATAGTTTTGAGGCATGAATTATTATTATTATTATTATTATTATTATTATTATTATTATAACAAATATCATCAACTGATGTGCCATGACCAACCTATAAAATTAAAAATCACTGTCACGAGTCTTTGATTAGCAGAGATATGGGTCACAGAAAGGATAAATTACACGGTGTATCTATACATATTATCGTCACTGTACACATTGTCGTCACCATGCACTTGTCACTGTAACAGCAGTTAATGGAAAATTAATTGACTTATTATTCTTAAACTTATTAGAGTGACTTATAATATTAAAATATGGATCAAATTTGAATGTTAGCCTTATTAGACCATTTTTACATAAAATAATTTCCCAAGTTTTCATTTTTTCTATCCACTTTCCAAAAATGTTTCAATGCAGACAAAATTAAACAGAAACTGTATCACATAATGTTTGAGAACTAACAGGAATGATTTATAGGACTAAACTACAGATCAAGTGAAATCATCATGATTGGATTATTTTTGTAGACATTATGTTTATTAAATTTTTATTTATTTATTACTTTTTTGTAAATAAGTTTTTTTTTTCTATGAATTTCTCCAAAATGCTGCACTCTCTTCTGCTGTAGTGACCATTTAAGGAAAACCATGTCAGTTCTCAAAGTAACAGAAAAGAAACCTAGGACTAAGGACAGCTTGAGTTGGAAAACCTGATTATATTCTTTTGCTGGAAGTAATGCAGTTATTGTGAAATGCTCATTATTCACATCTTGGCATTTTCAGTGTGGGACTTGGTACTCCCATGGGCATAAAGTTGTATGGTAGTTACATTTACTGAATGCCCATGATATATATAGTGGGTAAATAAACATTGGTGGTGATTATACAGTTTATCATTATGTAAAATTGCATCATAACTGACAAAAATCCCCATTTGGTGCTTGGTCTGTAAGGGAAACTGTTTTACTTATTATTTTCTAACTAACAAGAATGATCTTAGGATTGACATGTACCTCAAATTAGGCAAATGTACCTCAGGCAAACCAGCTTGATAAGATTATTTTCTTAAATTTGTGAAATTTTTGAGAAATGGCTCTTAAGATAAATGGCACTCATGAGCCTGAAGCCTTATGCTAGTTGCATATTATAAACATCCCTGTTGTGCATATTTAAATTTTGGGTCGGATTTTGCTGTTAAGCATTATGTAATATTGCATCAAATTGACAGATAACATATTATGTGCATCATTTTCTGCTTTTATGTCTGTACATTTGACAGCTTTGCTGCCTTGTTGTTTGTAAGTTATCTGTATCAGCTGAGATTGTCCTATTGTAAGAGCTAATTCAGGGTTGATGCTGGGACAGCCAAAATATAAACTGTGATGACAAATGTCTGTTTTGGTCATCCTTGAAATTGTAGATGCTACTTATATAGTTTATCTGATTGTCAACTTGCATGGCACTATTTACAACTCAAATTGCCTTAAGATGAAAACCTTCTTACACATATATATTTTTTCACCTACTTTACTTGGCAAGGATTGAAGAATTATTACTATTTTTGCAGACACCTCCCAGTGAAGGCCTTAAAAATATCCGAAAGGTTCTACATGACTGGTCTTCTCCAACGATAGGAAAACTGTGATGAAGATTTGTAAGCAGTTTAATTAGGCCTCAGAACCATTTGATCAACAGAAATGAAGTGTGTAGTTTCACTGTAGTTGGTTGTCTTCAACACATGGATGTGTCAGCCAGAATTGCCTTCAAGCAGGGATATTGATGAAGCATGTGACACTGAGCCTTCCATTTAACTCATTCCAGTTAAAATATGAGGAAGTAGTGTTATTGAAGAAGCTCAACTGATCCAGTTATCCATGGAATTTCTAGAAAGTACCCGAGTGTATTGAAGGTTTGTGCTTACATGCGTCAAGCTTCATATGGATTTTCTTGCAACACAGTACTTTGGATTTGTCATGAATTCGAGTGTTGACATTCAGTTTTGCTCAGTTTTTTGTGGCAGACTTTTCCAGTCTTGAAGTAACCTCATTACTGTTACAAAAAATTTTAACAAGATTTTGCCCCCATTTTCTTATCTTCATTTCATTAAGATTCTTTATTTTTATTTTAGTCTCATTTAAAGACTGCGGTCAAAGTCAAAGTAAGTGGGGCAAAGTAATAATTGCATTTAAGTGCTGTGAAATATATTAAAAGCTTTCTGGTAAGAATAAAATTTTTAATTATGACAGAAAGGCACAATTTATGTGGACTTGTCACTTCCCATATCAAGAAGACTCGGGGGGGGGGGGGTTCCAAACACGGTAGTTTAGGCACCAGTCAGGTTTGTCCCAAGTCGGTAATACGATTAAACCAGTTTTACTTTTTTATTGGCAACTTTTAGATTATACATTATACAAAATTTGCTTACACTGATATTTTATATTATGTATATTAATATAAATTAAAAATATATTACAATGTACAAAAGCATCAAGCATGTCAATTTAACCAAATACAGCAATGCACTAGGCTCATGATAGTGCTCCACTACTGAAGGGCAAGTGATAAATAGAATACACTAAAAATCAACACAGCTGAGTTATATACAACACACCAACCAAAACCACCTTTTCAAGTGAAAAACACTTAAACACAACACTTGTGTTCAAATCTACTCATTCTTGACACTAAGGCCAGTATGTAAAATACAATTATCTTGGGCACCTTCAGTACTATGTAGAAAAGTTGTTCATTGTACTTAATTCAGACAAGCTTTATTTATTGCCTTTCCAAAACATTATTTTGATGATTATGCTTGAAGGAAAAAAAAAAGAGGACATAAGCTCTGAGAAGCAACTTTGATTCATGGAAGTGTTCTTGAGAGAATTGGAAATGATGTATCTTTCACAAAACAATGATAAACTATTAAAATAATGGATTTAGTAATAATTTTCTTTTTTTGTAATACTGAGACACCATTCTCTAAAGGAAGAATGGAAAACTGGATGCTTGTCTTGATCCGTACCTTATATCTTTCACTGATCAGTACACTTCCACAAATTGCACAAACATTGCAATGCTTACTAATTCTGCAAAATTATGGAAACTTCAAGAAATGTTAACACCATCAATGGGACTGTGATTTAAACCATGAGTGACTCAAACATTGATGCAAAACCTTGAAAAGATATCAAGTTAATGTGCAGATATGATAGTTTCCTACTGAACAATAAAGGGTGGTAATGGGCACAAGTGAAAGAGGAAGTTGACCAACTTTCCAAACACTTTTCCTCAAAACTACCAATACACAGCCTAACACTACTATGAGGGTTAAAGGACTCAATGACAATTAAAATCATTCTCCAAAACAGATGATGCCTTGGTTATTCTAAAATAAAATGTAACACCACAGTATTATTACCAATTAACATTTTCATAAAACTTAGAAAATGCCACTGTACCACCTTTCTAGGGTGACGCTAAATAAAACACTTTCACCTGGCTTAAAATAATTCTTCCTTAACTTAAAAACAGAGCATCTAATCCTGTACACCATTTGTCTAGTTGGAGAAGAAAAGCAGCATTTCAAACATGACCATAAGTGTAATAGAGACTTCTTCAGACATCTTTTTGACTACATAAATATAATTATGTTATATATGGACTATTTACATTATGCTTATACATATGAACTATGTATACATATCTGTATTTATATATATATATATATAGCTTTAATTTTAAAAAAAGTCTGTTTTGAGTCTATACATCCTGGTGTCATAGTTCCATGTCCTGTGCTTCATCCTCAGAGAAGTCACTCATTGAACTCTCACTAGACGAGGAGTTGTCCTCCTGTAACTCCCTCAGAGCTTCTTCTGTAGCATATTTCTTCACATATTCTGAATACGTATAAAGAAAATGTATGTTATTTTGATTTTTAATATGAATTCAAACAGACCAGAAAAGATTTCCAACTTCCTTTTTTTTTACCATATTGGTCAGGTAAGTAAAATATATATAATATTAAATGTGAAACGAAGCCCCTGGCTGCAATACAAGTGTTTTGACAGCATGAAGCGTAGCTGTGAATGCGCTGTGCATAATCATCCCCTCCATCATACACTTTCTGAAGTAATAGAATTTCTCTTCTGCTGCTGCTGTTTGTTTTCTTCAAGCACTGACCAGAAATGAATCTTGCATAACTTTTTTTCCTACTGACAGATCTTAAGTGAAAATAATTGAATTTCACGAGTTTCAAGAAAAGAAATCTGACTTTATGTACATTTCAGAAATTCTTGACAAGACATTTTTATGTCAATAATTTTTCTCATAAAAAAGGAATAAGGAATTATAGTCATATTAAGAAACTGAAACCAGGAACAAGCTTAGCTACAAATAATGTTTCACATTTTAAAGAACACGCTTAAAGTTAAATTGAAAAACTGAGAAAAACACCCAAGACAGAAGTCCAATCTTATTACTGTACACAATATCCCAGTGTTGGTTCTTTTTTATATGGATTTGATTTTGTAGATCTATACAAAGTACAAGATTTTTTTTTTTAATATTCAATTTGATAAACAAATCTTTAACAGATGCACTGTCAGTCAATATCTTGCATAATATTATATTCTGCTCTGACTTGAGGTTCATTTTAATCCTATTACCTTGAACTTTTTTCTTATATTCTTCTGGTTTGTGAAGATACATGGCGGCAGCGTCACCATTCAGTGGGTCTATTGGGTTTGGGTAGGACAGCAATTGAGGCAAAAACGAATCAAATATATTGCTCAGATCTGAAAAGTAAATAATACATAATTTAATGATTATCATTATTTTTATCATTACTAAATTTCAGCCTTTATTCATGTGAATTTAGGCAGTCAATCAATACTGACTTCTGCATGCACAACACACTTTACTGATGTCACATCATTTATATAGAATTTTTATAACTGATACATAAAGTACATAAAGTTTTCCATTCTTGTGGAATCACATTCAGATACAATAATTTTTATGGACTTGAACTATGTAACTGAATATCCAGCCATCATCTATGTCTGCCCAAAACCAACAACTCTCGTGGCAGTGCTGTGGTCTTACCATATAAAGCAGTCCAGGCCTGATTGATGACATCTAAACACACTGTTCCAGATCTGAAATGTAAGATTACAATGTGACATTAATTTAGAAGGAATACACTCACACACACACACACATGATCACTATGGATGAGTGAGAGTAATACCCCTATTCCACATGGACTACGGATACTACCAACTGCCAGGAATTGATAAATCCCACGGTTCTTACTTTAATCATGATTAATTCTTTAAGCTCTTACTCAGTGCTGATCTACTGGCCAAACAAACTTTGAGCCAAGTCAGATATACAAGGGAAATTGTTAAATTCCCTAATATTTCTAGAAAAGGAACAACCAAACAAATATCAGCCATGAGCAAAATGTAGTAGCTTAGGTGACCCTGATGGATAATTACTAGTAGGTGAAAATGTTCAACAGACAGCTACAAATATGCGCCGAGGTTTGTCATCATGCCAAGGTTCAAAACTAAAATGAAAATCACATCAAGTTGTCAGCTCTTTTGAGTTTCATGATAGTGCTCTAAAGGCCTTTTAATAACATATTTAACAGTTCCTTTCATCCATACTTACACTTCATCAATATTTGGATGGTATATTCTGTTCATAAAACCTGGAAGAATATAAAGAAAATTGTCCTATATATCAAATGAAAATTGAAACTTCTTTTACCATAACTGCAGATTTCAGTTACCATTTCGCCTTGCTGATACATAATTATCAATTAAGTAACTTTAAGCTACATTACTTCAACTTAAGTATTCTTTATTAAAGACACATTAGGTTAACCCATGGCTGACTGAAACAGCCAATGTAAATGCATTTTTATCATATATGTATTCCATCTCGGGGGACTACTTGCCAGCTACTATGAAATTATTGCAAGAATAGAGTGGAGACCCCTGTATAACCCTGCCATGAAGTACACAGTACACAAAGTACATAAACTTGAATTCCAGTCACATCTTGAACATTCCACACTGCCTGGCCAGCTTACCTATAGATGGGGACTTGAATGGATACTTATCAGGTAAATCAACACGTACTTTCCACACACCACCTTCATATGCACCTGGAACAAAAAATGGGAATGCTAGGTCTAGTTACCACATTATAGAAAACCAGTCTTAAAAGAGTAAATGAATTTCAAACAACCCAGACCAAGTACTGTGACATGAACTTGCACAAATGCAGATATATACATATTGAAACACACACACACATCCACACACACATTTCGTAACATTTATGTAGCATATCAATATAAATCATGTAAATTAAAAGTTTTGTTTCTATTGTTCTATCAAATTCATATGTGACAGGATATGAACACCTTTCCTGGCATAATTAACACCACATAAAAACTCAAAAGTAATTTCTACAACAATATAAATGTATATGATTATTTAAATATCATTTTTTTTTTTGGGGGGGGGAGGGAATATGAAACAATACCCTTTGGTATTTCTCAAAGGTATACTTTTTGAAACTACATGGTGGGACTTGGTCAGGTTTTGTGGCACAACTATGACCCCATTCAGAATGAAAGATTCGAGTGCAAACTGGTCCAAGGTTCAAATATGGCGGACCCTACATAAGAGGAAGACCGCTTAATCCAGTTATGGTCTCTCTGCCTCTTACACCCCTTCTCAAGTGTCGTCCCTGCAGGGGCACAGTCACTAAATCTTGGCTCCATTCAACCGGAAGCTACTTGCGAAAAATTAAGTGTGCACGCCCATCACTACTTGGAAATTAGTCAATCCCCATTTCATTGAAGGGTTTACAACTTGTTGCTGACATGTCATTTTCAATTATAGCTGATCATTTTGGAAGACAAATCAAACTACTGATATTGAATAGGACTATAATGATCAGAATACCTTTAATATACCGTTTAAATATTATGATCACTTAAATTAATACAATGAATAATTGTAATATAGATGTTAGGAATATGTAACTTACATAAGGCTTCAGGCCCATGGGGGTTCAAGTTTACACTTTGAAAATGACACAATGAGAAATATGAAAATATCACAGAAAATTCTAAAACCATGAGTGCTGCCAGCGTACACGCTGGTGGTACTAATAATCCAATCATGCTGGTTTTCCAACATGAGCTGTATGTCAGTCCTAAGAATCATTCTTGTAAGATACAAAATAATATAAATCACAGTTTTCCTTTCATAGCATTTGTGGAGGTAGTGCACAAAGTCGGTTTTTACTCAATTTTAATGCAATATTACATAATGATTAACAGCTTAATCACCACTGATTTTTAATCATCTACTATACTTATCATGGACATTTAGAAAATATAACTACAAATTGGCTTCATACCCCTGGGGTTTTAAGTCACACACTGAAAATGCCAATATGTGAAAAATTTACATTTCACAAATGACTGAATAAATTCCAGACAAAGACACCAATTAGACTGATTTTCCAGTTCAAGCTGTATANGCCAACAAAAATTTGTGACGACAAATGCAACTCTAAAGACATTCCAGCATTCTTGAGAAGTATAAGATGGCAAAATAAGTTTGTTTCCTCATGTTGTAGTGAGTGGTGACCTCCAAATACGTTTGGTGCAATCGCTAAAGTAATAAACAAGCGTTCATAGATACCCGCACTTAACTGCACACATGCGCAGTTAGATCTGTACAGGTGTCGATTCCGCTAAGTTATCCGGATCGCGCTTAGAAATCCACCTCGCTTGCAGGATTTTGAAAATGCGCATTACAAAAATCCTCTTGCGTTCACACTACTGCATTTATTCGAATTGTGACCTAATTCGCAATTTATCCGGATAACTGAGCGTAGTGTGAACGGGGTATAAGTGTGCACGCCCATCACTACTTGGAAACTAGTCAATCCCCGTTTCATTGAAGGGTTTACAACTTGTTACTGACATGTCATTCTCAATTATAGCTGATCATTTTGGAAGACAAATCAAACTACTGATATTGAAGAGGACTATAATGATCAGAATACTTTTAATATACTGTTTTAATATTATGATCACTTAAATTAATACAATGAATAATTGTAATATAGATGTTAGGAATATGTAACTTACATAAGGCTTCAGGCCCATGAGGGTTCAAGTTTACACTTTGAAAATGACACAATGAGAAATATGAAAATATCACAGAAAATTCTAAAACCATGAGTGCTGCCAGCGTACACGCTGGTGGTACTTATAATCCAATCATGCTGGTTTTCCAATATGAAGTGTATGTCAATCCTAAGAATCATTCTTGTAAGATACAAAATAATACAAAACACAGTCTTCCTTTCATAGCATTTGTGGAGGTAGTGCACAAAGTCGGTTTTTACTCAATTTTAATGCAATATTACATAATGATAAACAGCTTAATCACCACTGATTTTTAATCATCTACTTATCATGGACATTTAGAAAATGTAACTACAAATTGGCTTCATACCCGTGGGGTTTTAAGTCACGCACTGAAAATGCCAATATGTGAAAAATTTACATTTCACAAATGACTGAATAACTTCCAGACAAAGACACCAATTAGACTGATTTTCCAGTTCAAGCTGTATTATAGTCCTGTTTCTTTTTCTGTAAATTTTAGAATAATAAGGGGCATGGTTTTCCTTAACCCAATAGGTACCAGTGTAACATGAAAATCTGACTCCCCCAGTCAAAATTTCATACCGAAAATTTGCCCCACCCCCCCAACAAATATTTATAAATTTTATTTTACTTGAGTATATGACTTTTAACTTGTAGTATGCATAATGGAGGATACACTGGCACTTTTTGTTAGTTTGCAAGTGAAAATTTTCATGAGAAAATAAGAAAATTAAAAATGTGTATTATACCACCCAAAAATAAATTCATTTAACAAAAAAAGCATATCTTAAAGAAAAATAACCCAATCAGGCTAGTTTTCGAACTCAATCTGTATTTTAGTAATAATGATCACTCCTGCAGGTTTAACGACAATAGATAAACTGTTTTTCCACTGAATGTGTTATCTGTTGTTGCTGAAAAGGGAAAAAAAAAACGCATAACTATTGAAAAATGGACCTATCAAACTGATTCCTAAATTTGACCTGCATTTTATGAAAATTCATCAGTTCTGTAAGTTTGAAGACATTGTAAAATGGTTTTCCACTTATCATGTTATCTCTGAAATTGAATATGGCGATGGCCTGGTGAAGGTGATGAGAGATGCAGGTGACGGCTATATACATGTACAAACACATCTGTGTCTGTACAAAATAACACATGCCAAATCCAGGTTAAAGTAATATGGGTGAAAAATGTAATTAATACCCACAATGGTTTTGTTTAAATTAAAAATAAAATGACTGAAATTTGAATTTTTATAGATTTCAGCAATATTTCTATAACACACGAATAATATCTAATGTTTTAAATTGTTACAAGAACTTCCTATTTTCAGATACATTTATCCTATGGTACTAAGATTTTCCAAAGTGACAAATCAATAAAAAACATTATAATATATAAAGACATCCAATATAACCACTTCTATACTTACTTCCTTGGGGCCCATAGAACTTGACAACAAATTCATTTAGTCCACTGAGGATGGTGACTTCATATTTGCTTTCTATTCTGAACTGTAGTTAAGAATATTATTAAACAACCTAAACAATGCAACAAAATCCACTAATAATGCAACACTTGCATCTGTACATGTATATGATTATGTGTGCGTATGCACTATTATCTTTGAGAACATGTGTGTGTTCGTTGTCTCTGTGTGTGTGTGTGTGTGTGTGTGTGTGAGAGAGAGAGAGAGAAGAAAGAGAGAGTTATCAATCAAGTAAAACCAAACTGAAAATCACTTTGGTCTAAATAAAAATTGCACAAGTTGGCATTTTAATGTAACGAAATCAACATTGTGATATCAAGACGACAGTGTGTGCAACATTACAAACACAGACATTATGTTTCACCTGTGTATGTACTAGTACTGTTCTCACTATCTTAGTCAAACATGTGGTGATGCTGAAACAGTCTACTTCATGTTTGCTCTGCACTTCCACACATGTCCCCAGTAAACCTTCTGCCTCACAAATAACTGTGCAGAATCAATGAGCAAGCAAATGCCACTCATCAAACCCAAGGTTCTGATAACACAATGTTATCACACTTATACCACAGCTAATGCTTCAAACAATAAGATAATTGCATTTGTATTTGGCATATGTATGAAAACAAAAAAAAAAACAGCCATGTCAAACCATTTAATTTACACATTCTGAAAAATTGACAAGAAGGTCCAAACAAAATTCAACTGGCCACAGACATAGAACCTATGGCTAACGATGCATACTCTGTTATGTATAACAATTGGACAAACTACGAGAAAATGTTTTTGTATCTTGAATAAAATACACACATACAATCATATACTAGTATGCATTTGCGTAAATATAAACACATACAGTATACCGTATACGTGTAATATGTATTATACACCTAGGAACCCACTAATGCACACATGCACATATTTATGTAGGCACAAACATACCAATCAATATACATATTTGCATGTCCACAATTCTGGGTAACAGCAGGGGCTGATCATCTTTGAAAGTATGTCAAAATATTCCTATGCGATATATTACAATGGGGGCGCTTTCATGCGAAAGGGGTGGATTTGTCTTATTATAACAGATAATTTTATGTTTCCAAGCATTGCTGTGTATTTTAAACTTTTTAATTCTTAGCTGAAAATGACCTAAAACAGCGCTTAAATCTGGGACACAGACATACCAGTCAGTTTTACAGCTGTATATTGTGGAAAAGAAAATTTTCAAAAAATTGTCACTTTTTTGGTCATATCCAGGATCATTTAGGACACATTAAGAAAAACAATAATTGCTCTTCATCACAAATTTTCATGGATGATGAAAACAGGTTGTTGTGGGTTACTATTGTTTCTGTTTTCAACTTCAGTACAAAATCTCCCATACACGTGAACCATACATATCATTCAATTTTGGGATTTAAATATTTGAAATACAGTCTGCTTTTCATAAAACAACAATGTGTAAGGAAATCCTGTCATCTGAGCGGGTAATCACAGATGTTATGACCCAATCCTGTTTCGTTTCCTCCAGACTCGCAAGACAACGAAACCACAGCTAACGTGTAGTTTCGTTTTCCCATTCAGATTTGGCCCAAGGACTTAGCTTAAAGAGAATTTCATTGATGATGTAACGACACAGTCACATGAATATTAAATTAGACCAATTAAATTAGCTTTACGCGGTCCCCACTTTTTGGCTTGTAACTCACGAAAATTGACTTCATGTAATTGCTGTTTAACTGCTGATTTAGGATCGCAGTGAGCTTTCCCAACTCTATAAAGTTAAGTGTACTCTTTCCTGATAATTTTTATATGTGTTTAATATGATGCTTATTCTAAGCACAAAGCATGCTCACAAGATCGGCTCCATGTTGCCCATGTCCTAATGTTGTTACCCAGTATCGTGGACGTGCAGATATCTAAGTCAAGTAAGTGAATAATCCACTATGCAAACACCAAATGGGGGAAATCTATTTTGCAAAATATAGGTCTTTATAACATGCAGATACCCCTTAAATAAAATACCTACAATAGACTAGGTGGCAATCACATAGGCCGCATTCACATCAAGTTGAGCCATGGCTCTACAAAGCCACGACCTAAATATGGCGGATGTACATGAAAGGAGAACCGCCTAATCTTTTGATAGTCTCTCCGCCTCTCACACGCCTCCCCATGCGTAGTCCCTGTGAGGGTACAGTCATTAAATCTCGGCTACATTGGGAAGACACATGGGGAGGCGTGTAAGAGGCGGGGAGACTATTAAAAGATTTGGCCGTTTTCCTTTCATGTACGTCCGCCATATTTAGGTCGTGGCTTTGAAGAACCATGGCTCAACTCGATGTGAATGTGGCCATATTGTCACGTTTGGTGCTGGAGCAGCTATCCACTTTTTGTGCACAGCACCAGAACCAGAGCCTGGACACACCATCAGATAGGGCCTATAATCATACTAACTATGCAATAGGAACTGAACAGTTACAGTACAAGTTCAGCAGCAGACTGTACACCACATCACATAGGCCGCATTCAGAAAAGTGGACTAACTAGTCCAAGGGTCAAATATGGCCAACCCACTTGAATACTTCCCCATGGGATATCTATTCAGTGTCTTTTAGCTGATTCTACAGCAAGCTTTTTAATGGGTCGCCATATTTGACCTGCGAACAAGTTAGTCAACTGTTCTGAATGTGGCCATACAGGAATGTAGGCATCTGCAGTTTGAGCGGGGGCAGTGCAGCTCAGGTGATGCCAAATGCCATTAAGTGCTGACCAACATTTCACTTTGTTAACTAAGCTGAAGAACACAGTGTCACTAGAATAGTTCTGTGTACAGCTGTGGCAAGGTGCCATATATAATAACTATGTACATGTACAGAGTGAACAGACTAAGACTATACATGCACATATGCATGCTTAAGGTGCATGGCTTTTTTATAACACATACACAGCAAGACAGCCTTGCCCTGAATATTAATTCAAGTATGAAATTTACCTTAATAACGCCTTGTAATATCTTGGTCATTGTAAAATCCAGCATATTTCTCGACACTTTCCTTTATATCAAAACGTGTAATCTTTCAAAGGGAAGAAAATTAACTTGGCTGCAATCAGCAACACACTAGCGCATTGTTTTCATCTCCATTCAGCTTTCAGCAGGGGCTGGGAGAGATTGGTTTTGCATTTTACTGGGATGGGAATACAGTAATCACTGAAATAGATAGAAAACCTACATTTTCTCTCCTGAATTTCACCTGAACGCTATTTAAGAGCTGCTCTTTTCTTTCTTTTTTGACAGTCCAGCTAACTTTCTTTCACACACACACACACACACACACACACACACACACACACACAAAGAACTATATCAAATATCCAATCCTAATTCTAATGGATGGAAAGCCAAAATACAAGTTTGCTCAATATCTTTTGAATTACCTATGAACTTGAAGTGAGTGTGGATTCCCTTTAATTCATGTAAACCACTTCCACTAGTTTTTTTATTAATAGATTCAAGTAAAGTTGACATGACAATGAATAAACAAAATTAATCATCAACTGCACTTTTTTCAAATTTTTGGTATAAAAGTCCACAAAATGGCATAGTAATGTAAGCAATGTAGGGCACATTATTGCTGTGCATTCAATTAGCACAACTATTCAAATATTTCTTTTCCAATGTAGTCATATAATCACCAGCTTTTCTGTGTCCTACTTAATGCCAGTAGGGGACGTATTACATTGATTGCATTCAGCGAGTCCCTGCAAAATTGGATAGACCTATGCAGACAGATAGGTTCAATGGGAATGAGCCTTTAGAAAAAAAATTCCAAAGACCAATATCTGGACTCCTTCGGATTTTTCCAAAAACTCACTTTCATTACTTACTCTCAATTTATCAATTCCAAAGAAGAACTCCACATGAAACGCAGAAATCTTACAGTGGATTAGGTTTGAATATTACCAGCTAAAGAACAGACAAATCTTATTACAGTGTACTTGACTACAGTGCTGAAATACAGACAACAAATATTATAATTTCATGCACACACAAGCAAAAGCAAGCTCGTTAGAAAAAAAAAAAACATGGATTTTATCAGCATATCAATCACATTCTATGTGTGTCTATGACTAAATGTACATGTGCTTTGCCATATGTAGGTATATCTTCTATCCAGTTAGGCATTATAATTATCACATCTGGCTATAGGTTAATACATAAAAAGGGACTGCCTCATTGGACAAGAAAACACCAGGACTCTGGCTGTTTTACAAGTTTAACCCTGTAGTCAGAGATAGATTTTGTTCTCACATCCCAGGGACACAAGTACTTAGGGTTAAGGCTTCAGATTCAAGGCAAAAAACAAAACATCAATTTTTCACACAAGGGACGTCTTGCCAGGAATAGGCCCACAAGCACCTGGTATATAATAAGGTATGATGATGTCACACCATTTCACCATTTATCATGCCCCATCTTTATCCAGCAAACAATGCAGCATTAACTGCAGACACATGTCCATTTATTGTATATGTTGGTAATAACTGCTCTGATGGAAATACAAATAGCAAATTATCATGCAAAAACAAAAAATAAATAAATTTACACTGCAAAATTGTTGCAATTAAGATGTTATTGGCAAAATGATCTTTCCTAACATGCCGACTTGTCAACTTGGGAGGGTATTTGGAATGAATATATATCCAAAGTAGCTTCAACTGCAATTAATGAGTTTTGGAGTGGAGGGGGGGGGGTTTGCGACGCAACAGATTGATCTAACATTTCATGCCATACATGTCGTTCCACTACACTATAATTTACTGTGTCAAACATTAAACACACAATCAAAAGATATAAAACTATATTCTTAGTAAGATTTCCCAACAAAATGTGACGCTATTCTTAAGTTGCTGCATACAGCTGAACGAGGTCGACATAAACTTAGCAGTTTAGTCGACACCTCGATCTCAGTTGGGCTAGGTCCAAGTTCATCAAAAGAATTCTCCCTTATCAAATGAAATAACGAGTAAGGATACAGTTTCACGACGTCTGTGTCCATTCGTCTCTTCCCTGGGCTCGGTGATGACATATCTTTAGCTGCGGAGTTACGTTTTTCGGATATTTTTTTTACACTTGGCCCCTCTTCGCAATAATAATAATAATAATGGCGGACGTATCTCCTGGGTGACGTCAACCTGTCACGTGACTGGTTGAGGTAGGTATTAGGAATTCATGTAAAAGCTTCTAATTAATAAAATGGTACCGTAACTGAACTTTTCAGCGTTATTTAAGTTAATTTCATACTTGAATTAATCAAATATGATCAAATATATTACATATATTAGCAGAATTTCTTTAAATATTCTGTGCGGGTCAAAGTTCAAATTTGATTGACAGCTGCAGGTCATCAGCTGTTCGATGTAAACAAATGCACGAGTTTCGTATGGTCTTCGTCTGCCGCATTAGCAGTAAGATCCTCTGCGATGGCACATCACTTAAAATACATAAATACCATGAAAATAATTGGATGTAATTGCATGCACATTGTAATATGCATTTCGGACGACGAAACACAAATTTTGTAATTTTCAAAGCACATATTAAACACATTCTCATTCAAATGTTGTTGTTATAGGGCCTACGCATCTACTGCAATATTCCATGTTTGTTTTTATTTCACTCCTGTCGCAATTGAAAGTTTATCTTCACTTAAAATTTTGTTTCTCATACGCTAAATCAATGTGGGTGTTTTATGCATCTTTTTTTACTTAATATTACGAATATCATCAGGACATTCTCGTTTTTAGATGAACGTAGATAATGGAAGTAAATGCTACAGCCCTAAATGAGCTTTGTGAATCTACTCCATTAATTTTTTTTTTTTTTTCAGAAAATAGTCGCTTTGCAAGAAAGGGGATATTCGTTTTTGTCGCAAATTTTCATTGAATCATACAAAAACATTTTATCTCTTGGCTCGACCTTTGACAAGTACCCTGATTTTTCAATTCGATGGTGGTCAACTTTTTAACTTAAAAGGAAAACAACTGTTCGTTTTGGCCAAAAAAAAAGTGTCCTGGGGTAAACGACAATTTTCCCATCCCTGCCAATGGTTAATGAATCCATTTCTACATTCAAAGTTAGTCCCTGTTTTTTTTTTTCTAAAAATTTTGTTTTATTTTTTGTAATAATCTCTTAAGAGGTCACGTGGTCCGATGACAAGCACAGATTTCATAATAATTGCTATAACTGCCGTTTTTGTGGTAAAATAGAATGTATTTTAGTTCTATTAGTTGTTTACATTCTATTTATTGTGAAATATAGATTTCATACGAAGAGTTGTTGTCCCTTTAAGTACTTTCCCCCACAGATCTGACCAGTGCTCTTCCAATAAGAATTGTCAACTTCACGCGCGGAAATTAAAAGCTAATGATATCGAGAAGAGATCTAGAAAAAAACATTTGTCAGGTAGCCCCTGAGCCGACCCTTTTGCCGCATGGCAGTGTTTTTCAACTGTCTGGGAATCATAAACTAAAACTTGTGTTTGAGGAAATTCAATTATGAAAAAAAAACATTATTAATAATAGGGCTTAATTCTCATTTATTGATCTCTAGAAAAGAATCAAAATGGACTAAAAGAAAGGAAATGTTCACTGGAGTACTATATACAACGTTCTCAAGCAAACAATGAGGTGAAAATATGTTTTCATATCAATTTAGACAGCCTTGTAAATTTTTGAATAATGACCTACCTATATATAGGTGAGTTACGTCAGTAATGCTGACATTTTGTGTAATATTTGCATAATTCTGACTTGTCCCGTTATTTTGCTGTTTTATACAATTTTATCCATCAAGAACTCAACAGTAATTACAAACTGATATAATACAGTTAGGAAAATATTTCACAAAATGTGTGCATAACTCTAGGCGTCTCTTTCTAGTGAAATGATCTTTAAGGAATAAATGCAGACGAAGTTACAGTTATTCTAGGTACTAATTAATCAATTCGCCACAAGTAATAAGAGTTTTCACCCCACGTTTTGAGTCAACTGTAAAATTTCCTACAGCTAGGCTACATGAAGCACATGCTATTTTAAATCGGTTCAATGACGTTGATAAATCCGAAAATAGTTGAAAATCAGCATTATGACTTTGAACTCAGGGGGATATATTTACAAACTGCATGGCTTATTCTCAGAATCAGTGTTGCTGTGATTGGATATTAGACCTACATTTTCTTCCAACTTTACTTGCACTGGTACGGTAACAACCAATAAAGCTATATAGCACGCTATGAAACGCAACATGCACCCGATATTTCGGAGAATACCCAAAGAATGT